AACTTACATGAAAACATAGGTGATCATGAATGATATACATTATGTGTAGACATTTTTCTAATTGTGTGCACATATGTAACTTTCACATCTCTGCTTATATGCATCTCCTCACAAACATCCATCAGTTTGCAGCCATAGGGTTTCCAGAGGTGAGAAGAACCACTCCAGTGTGAACTAACACATGGCTTCATTCTCTGCTGTCTCATTGTACCAACACTACTCATCATTCAGCAGGCTTCCTGCTGTTCTAGTTTTTTCCTCACAGGAATATTAATTTCAGAAAATATCCCAGGTTGATTTTAAATTTCTTTAAAATTTACAGTGTTAAATCTACCAACCTTACTTTTATGCAAAGTAGCATGTGTTGGTATATCTACAGTAATGTATGTAAGAAGGAAAAACAAAATTAATATATATATTTCTACTTAAAAGATAAAAACCACTGTATCTTCCAGTATCACAAATTTCGTTAAGTAGACCCTTTTTCTGTAATTTCAAAATCACTTCATTGTTTTCATGTAGGAATACAAAGGAACAGTTCAGAAGGCAGTGACACCTAATGGTAAAGATATTCCTACAGGCTGTAAACAGATTTTTAATGAACATTAGGTATTCAGCAATACTAAATATTGTTACTATTATGTTGTCTATAATCAAAATGAACCAATGATCCGATACAAATGGGAATGCCTTACAACACTATAAGTGGATAAAAGAAAAAATTCTTTATAGAACATAGTTTTAAAATCATAATGTACCATTAAGATAAATTCATAATATGGAAAAATGAGTCAAAGAGGTCAAAATTGAATGAAATTTATCTTCCATTGCTTCTAACAATTTCCATTACTATCTATTTTTAGATAAGTCAAAGGTTAATCACTGTGATTTTTCTCATATTTGAATGAACATTTATAGGAGATATTTAGTGGATATATATTTCATCTGGAGTAGACAGCAAAGGTCCTTGTTATAATGTTTATTAGTCATGTCATGGTTGATGTCTTTGATTAATAACAACACTGTCTAATTTAATTCACATCAGAACTGTGCTTCAAAGAACTGTATTAATCATACAGAAAAGAGCAACAACAAAATATATGTCTTGATATTTTTTGTAAGTTTATTTCTATTTACATATAACCTAGGGAACAAACAGTTGCTATAACAAAAGTAAATGGGGAAAAAAGCAATTTGGGATACAAGGTGCAAAAAGACCCTGATGTCTGAAGTCACTGGTTAGCCAGTAAGTATCATGTGAAGGAAACGAAATACTTTAGAAAAAGTTAGTTATTTTATGCCTCCTGGGAATGCATTTATGATCATAGTTAATAAAACAGACCCCAGACCAGAAGTAAGAAAACAAATGCTTTCGATTGCTTGTCTGATGTTATTCATACGTGCTGAACATTCATCCACTGATCCAGCTGTGTACTTTTAACATCCTGATGAGGAAAGCATGCTGTGAACTCTCTTAGCCTCTGACAACAACAGAGTTGGTTAATATGATCTTGAGAATGAAGTATCATCTGCTTATAAGAGAAGTGAATAGATGGTCCTTTTCTACTCCTTAGGCATAGGCATTTTTCTAAGACTGATATCAGCCAAAATGTGCTAGTAATGTGTGTCATAGATGAGTGAGTACAGTCCTTGTGTGTTCCCTTATAGAGATATGTGACTGAGGATAGCTACATTACAATCCGCTCTATGAGCACAGGAACTAGATAAAGAAACGAGCATATATTAAACTGTTAAAACGTGCGATCCTCCATATTAGATAGGAAACAAAACACGAACTGTGCAGTTGACTGGAAATGCCACCTAATCCCTGCTTAATTAAAGCAGCACAGGCTACACTCCTGTTGTGTTGAGGGAGTACAGAGTGGGGGACGACTGATGGATGGGGAAAATAGCAGTCAGCGTGGCTAATCTCAAAGACTTGGGTGCTTTCTAGCTACATAAATCAGCGCGACTTCTGAATAGCCTCATAAAACACCGTATCATTGCCATTCCACTCACGACGGTTTGGTTCTTCCTACAGCATGCAGATCGTTAGGAAACTTCTAAGCAATCAAGTAATGTGGGTCTGATGAAATTACTCAATCAATGCACAGGCCCAAAGTGGAAGCATAATTCAAACTTGCATAGTTTTTATATGTCAAAGACCTTTCTTTCACCAGGGCAACGGAGGTTATTCAACATGAAGTTCTATGTGTATGTGTGGGTGTGAATTTAGCAAATAAATACATACAACTAGTAACACCCTAAAATATGGTGAACAAAAATTCAAGCAATTACACTATTATGTATTTTAAGTCGAATAAATATATATTCATCTCAATCATTGTGGTTCAACCATCAAAATATATTATATGAGCATAGTAAACTAATTCAACAAATTTAACTAAATTTATTCAACACAATATTAAAGTTTAATATGCAGTTGTTTTTATTAAGCTACCTGCTCGAAGTAAAAGAAGAGTGGTGAGACTTTTCATACACATACCATGGTTCAATATCAAAAGCATCCAGTATTTAAGAACTCAACAGAGAAATGGCATTTTATCTTTTCAGTGTGCCTGAATTACCATTGCAACCACTTCCCCACCAGAGAGGGGAAACCTTTATTTCTGTCTATCTCTTTACATCTCTAGGGGTGAACTATTACCTTCCCAAAGGTGTCATCATTTTCAGCCTTTAAGTCCTGAGCTAATACACTCCTAATATTCACATCTCTCATATGATTTCTGGAAAGCAATCACCTAAAGAATATTCCTTTTCCTCACCAGCCCAGTAAGCTAGCTGACCCAGCGCATGTTAACTGCTGCCTTACAAGTTAAATACAGATTTGAATTTTTCATACTTTGGGTAAATGTGCAGAAAGGGGGGCATTTAGCCTCTGAAGTACATACAACTTGGCAAGTTTTCAGTGCATTATAAGAGGTGTGAAGCTTTTAAAACTGTTAGTTTCATTACAATATTAGGAAGTCTATAAAATAAGCCAACTCCCTTGCCTACTGCACTAATTTCATTCAAGCCAAATTAATTGAGAAAGAAGCATTTCAGTTGGTTATACAGAATTGATGCACACAGCTAGATTTCTAAAGAAATGTGTAATAGTTGTAAGGCCCTTTAAAGAATCTAGTTATAAATAAGCAAGCCATTTCACTCTGAGAGACAAGAGTGGAAAATACCCAGTTATCTCCTACTCTGAATCAAATGTCCAGATTGCATTGTAAAATAGTATTTCTCTCTTCAAGTATACCAAGATATGTACACATAGATGTGTTTGCAAAACATGTAGAGCACAGAATAAGGAATAAAATAAGCACTTATCTACAAGTCCCTGGGGACAGGGAGCAAACATAAGTCAGAAACCCCTAATCATTAAGTGAATATAAAGAAAGGTATACTGATCACACCCCCAGTCTTGCCATCGTCACTTACAACTAGACATAAATTCATGTCATTTCTTTATGAGCAGCGTGGTTCAGTTCCAAACTCTTACCAGAGCATTCCTGAACCCATCTATGAGACCGTCATTTCTCCATGGAAAGTTCTGAACCTACAGACACTGTTAGCCCCCAGGCAAAACGGGATCCAGCAGGCCAGCTATCTAATGCTTTATTTTCTTAATGCACAAGGGCAAGGCTTTCTGAATTCTGACCTCATTACCCCTTGCACAGAGACATACAGTCCCATTGATATAAATGATAGAGGATGGCAGACATGTTTACAGAGATAGCCTATAATACCAAAAGAGGGAGCCCCCTGGAGCTAAGGATCTGTCAACCAGGTCACAAACACCAGGCAGAAGCCCTTTTCTTGGGAGGACCTGCTGCCTGCAGCTGGTTCACCTGCCAGGTGTATCTGTGTCTGCGTGTGTGTGTGTGTGTGTGTGTGTGTGTGTGTGTGTGTGTGTGTGTGTGTGTGTGACAGTGGAAGGGCCAGGGAGAAGCTGTGACCCATCTGTCGCCTGGATTTGCAGAAGAGGAACCCGTTTGTACAGATAAAAGTCCTGTACCCAAAAGAAGAAAAAAAGAAAAAATAAAATTTTCCCAGAGGGGTTTCACTGCAGCCCAGCAAACGAACCCGGCTTGCCCAGGAGGCGAGTTTCCCAAAAAGAAATCATTACATTAACGCAGAAAGACTGCAAAAGCCGGTCTCCACTCAGCTCTCAAGGATTAGCAAGTGAGAAGAGTTGGAGCCCTCAGCTGCGGGCACCCTGCATGATAATGACTCGAGCCCCGCCGCTCTCGCCGGCCGCTCTGTTCGCCAATAGGTGGGGCAGGATCCTGGCGACCCGCCGGCCCTCAGGGATCCAGGGCGCTGAGCTCGCTCAGGCTCAGCTCGGTAGGCGGCTGTCAGTGGCCGCTGTGTCTGGCCGGGCCACGAGAGCGGCCTGCACCGGCTTCAGCGTCTCCCACGCCCCGAGCCGCGAGCCTGTGCCCAGCCATCCTCTCCTGTCACCGTGTCGCGGGGACCGCAGAGGACCGCGAGCCTGGGCGTCCGCACCGCTCGCCGCAGCGGACTCGGCCGCTCAGGATGCAAAACCACCTGTTCGAGCCGCGGGGAGCGCCCCCAGCCCCAACCCGCCTCTCTCCCCGCGGATGACACCGCCAGCACGCTCCCACCTCCCCCCGTGATTTTTTTTTTTTATGGCTCAAATGTACATCCGGGAAAAAAATCGGGAAGCTAGAGTCAATCAAACTTCCTTCTCCCCACAACCCAAGTCCCCACACTCCCTGCACTCCTGCGTGGAGGCCAGAGTGAGCTCCCCCAGCTCCTGGCCCGCACTCCCCACCTGCCCTCACTCCGCGCGGGGAGGCTCAACCACAACCCAGGGAAAGCTGAGCCTGTGTGAGCGCGGGCACTGAGGGGGGCGCGAACCCCGGCCACTCCAGCAGCAGTCAGAGGCTCAAGGCGGGTGGGGGAGCAGAGATCACTGCCAAGGAAACGCTAGGGAAAATCGCCACAAGGCGCCACAAGCCCTGTCTTACCGATGTGGATGATGGAATCAGCGGTCGCCAGGTCCCAGGTTCGAGACCACCAGAGGGACAGAAACAAGAGCAAGGGGAAAACTTCCATCCTCCGATGCCGATCTTCCTTGACCACGACTTTGCTTCCAATACGTAGATATTCTCTTAACCGGTCCACAGAGTTTGAGGTCACGATAGAGTTGAGTGCAGCTTTCCCACTAATTTCCAAATCCCTCTTGTCAGGGCACACAGCCTTTCTTAGTCGCCGAGGAGGCACAGGCGACCCGAGAGCTAGCACAGCCGGAGGCAGCCTCCTCCCAAGCCCTGTCACTCGGAGGGGAATTTTGGCATCGCCAGAGTTGTTTGCAGTTCGGCTTTTTAAAAATGTATCCAGCCTTGGCTGCTCTCGGACAGGGGGCGAGGCTGGCGCTCAGACGGTGGCCGTGGCCGAGCGGGGGCCGCGGTGGCGGGTCCCAGCTCCGCCGCAACTTGGGCACCCCCGCGCCGCCGGATGTGCCCGCGCCCTCCCCCGCCGCCGAGCCCCTCCACCCCGGGCCGCGCGCGGTCGTGGCGCCTCGCGGCCAGCTCTCAGTGCCACCGGCGACGAGGAGGATGCGAGCGGAGCCGCCAGATTCCAGCGGGGAGGGGGAGGCCCGCTCCGGGAGGAGTAGCAAAAGTGAACTTGAAGGTAATGCAGATAGTCATGCAGAGAAGACTCCGGTGTCTGCGCGAGGAGGGCCCTGGAGCTGGCACGGCGGGCCCGTGCGGCTCCGCGGGCGCGGTGGCGGGGGAGTCCGCCGGGAGCGAGCAACGGGCCAGGCCGGCGCGCCGAGCCGAGCCGCCGCGGCTGCAGGATGCTCCGGAGCCGCTCGCCCGGCGGGATGCGGGAAGCCAACAGCAGCCTGGCAAAGCTCCGCTGCAGCCCCACGTTGCCTAGAAATGGATCACCTAGGAGAAGCGAGTCCGCAAGAGAGCGGTGCTGTCAGGCGGAGAGGGGAACCGAGAGAGGAAGAGCTTCTAATAACCACCTCCTCCCCCTATCTGCAATACAAGGGAGAAACAAAACCGCGCTCTCAATTCCCTGGGAATCTTCACCCGGACTGAGAAAGGCAGGACTCATAGAGAAGCAGTGAAGTCCCCCCACCTGCCTTGGTGGTTTTTTTTTCTTCCGAGGTTAAAAGCAACCTAAAAAAGCCACCCCACATATTTAACCTTGTTACCCCCCAACAGGTATCGGACTTTTTTCTAGTCTTTGTCTGGAATTAGTCACATTGGCTGAGAACAAATTAGGGACACCTAGTCACTTAGGGAAACGAAGACCTAGAAAGCTTTTAATGAGATTTCAATTATGAAGTTATAAAAAGCTGAGAATGTGCTAATTACCTTTTAAGCAGTGTTTTTTTTCTTTTCATTTTTTTCTGCTTGTTTCAATTTTTAAGGCAATCGGGATACAGAAAGAATTCTGAAATACTGTCAGAAAAGCGATAGCATTGAGAGTTTAAAATATATCTAGTATTAATATCACAAAGTCAATAAAAACGCCTCAGTGGTCAAAATACTGCATGAAATTAGTCACCTGTGCAGTTAGGTAGCCATGGGGAGCTCCTTGCCTTCCTGCAGATGCACTGTAAGGCAAGCTCCCAGCCTGGAAAGAAGGGATTTTGTGCATGCAAGCTTATCCTTGCTCCTACTTTTCTAATGACTAGTTTATATTCTTCTATCTTACTGCAGAAGGGGGCTCTGTTAACTCAGTCAAGTTTGTTACTGAGGTCAGGTATTAACAGTCTTGACAACTGTTTCAATTTCAGCTGTAGTCCACTAAAAATCTTGTTACCAAGGGGGTGTGTGTCAAAACCCAGTGTTCCTCCTAAGACAGCCTGAGCCCTTTTGTTTCTGCTCCCTCATCCACAATCTTTCTCTTGGGGATGATTTGACTTAATTGCCCTTTCTGATCTCTTTGAAGTCTTATCCTTCCTTCATCTTGCAAATTTCATCCCTGGACATTCCAGAAACTGTTTGGTTCCTTTGTTGCTACTCACACCAACAGTTCCTACAGGATATACATTGAGGCTTCTCACAACCTCAAGACCAGAATCCTGTCACCTAGGAAACAATGCCCCACCTTTAGTGTGAAATAATTCCATCCATCTTCTATGTTCTCACTGCAGCCTACCCTACCTTTGTATTACAGAAAATAACAAGAGCAAATAAATAAATAAATAAATCAAACAACAACAACAACAAAAAAAAACCACTCCTTTGGAGTTAGTTCACCAATGCCTTCTTCCACGATGGTCAGGGCTTACACACTTTTTTGGTTTGTTTGTTTTGTTTTGTCTTTTGCAGAGAGCTCCAGTTGTTGAATTTCAGAATTTTCTGAATCAAGAACCAGTACTTCCAGGAAGCCATCACTGACTGTATTTCCCAGTCAATTTTCATCATCTCTTCATTGCCCCCTCCCTATTAGTACACATGAATTCAATGTGAATTCTCTTCGTGTTGTTATTGATGTCATTCTAATGTTCAAAGCATGCTGATGTACTTTCATGAACGTTGATACAGATAATGAGTTGTATAAAATGAATGTATCTCTCCAAGGCACACAGGATCATTTTAAAAGCTAGTGAGTCACAGTGTATTTTATCAGGAAAAAATTTTGAAGTCATCATTTATGATGGACACAACAATACCATATCTGCTGAGCAGAGAGGTAGAACTTTAAAGCAATAATTTTATCATTTTCATCATAATTGTTATTCTTTGAGATAACTAATAAATAAATATAGTCATGTTCATATAATCTATTACAAGAATCTTTTAATGTACCATAAATAAAACATTGTAATTATTCCAAAATCCTCCATTTAGTAGTTTTTATCATAACTTCACTGTGGGGTAATCTGGCGCCTTAGTGTGCCTTCCTTTCCTGCAATAAAGCTTTGGTAAACAGACATATGCAAAGAAAGGGTTTATTTGGCTTATACATTCATGTGACTGTCCATCACTGAGGGAATTCAACTCAGGAACTCAATCAACAACCGGAAGAGCAAGAAATAATGCTGTTTACCAGGTTGTCCCACATAGCATGCTGAGCCTGCTCCCACAGTGAGTTGAGCCCTTCCATACCAGTCATTAATCAATAAAGATGCCCTAGAGACACCTGCAGGCCAATCTGCTTCTCTCTTCCCAGGTGACTCTAGTTTGTGTCAAGGTGTCAAAACTAATGGAGCAAACCTGTACTTCTTTGCAAAGGGCTTGTGTAAGTATGGTTAATTCAGAAACTCCGAAGGGCGGGACTCAGTCTTAATCTGCCTACTTCTGTAGGTATCTCTAACAGGTAGCCATAGCCCACAACTACTATTTTAATAGTTGGACATATAAAGGAATTTGGGTGACACATCATAAAACCCACAAAGACATAATGATCATCTTCTAAGGGTCAGAAGAGGCCATTCAAACCTGGATTGCAGTATTCTAAATGTAAAACAAGAAAGTTAGTACAAAACTAAAGTAAAGAATTCCCTTATTAATTTTCAATTTAGGTTTCCAGTGTTCAAGTAATTCCTATGCCTAGCAAGGACTAATTAATTGGCTTTGTATGAATACAGATTTATACACTTAAACTATCTATAACCATAATGTTTTAAATGGATAGATTAAGTTACCTAGAAACAAAAATTAACAATGTGCAAAATAGATGTAAAATACCAAGTATAAAAAATAGCATATTCACCTACTGTGTTTATTAATTGTTTGTTGCTATAGAGGGAATTGAACCTTGTATATTTTACACATATGCTAAGAAATGTCTCTATTGAGCCAAGGTGAGTTTAGGGAGAAAACTGGTGCTAGGGTAATTCCCAAGAATCCACAAGGATGATCCAAGCTAAGACTCCTGGCAATAGTGAAGAGGATGTCAGCAATGGTCTACCCCTGTAATCAGACTGATGTATACCCCAACTATCATTAGAGAGCCTTCATCCAGTAACTGATGGAACCAAACACAGTGATCCGCAACCAAATGCTGTGCTTAGCTCCAGGAATGTAATTGTCAAAGATAAGGAGGAGGAAACATATGAGCAAGGGAGGTCAAGATCATAATGCAGAAATCTACAGATACAGCTGAACCAAGCTCATGGTAACTCATGAACTCTAGACCGACAGTTATGGCAACTCCAGGGGGACAGAACGAGGCCTTCCATATGTGGGAGACAGTTGTGAAGCTTGAATTATCTAAAGGGCTCCTGGCAATAGAACCATGGTAGATACCTGATATATGAGCTAGCTTATTGGAGCCCATTCGCTTTTGTGGGATGCCATACTCAGACTTACCGCACGGGAGAGGGGCTTAGGCTTGCCCCACCTATGTTTGCCAAATTTTGCTTGCTCCTCATGGGGTCCTTACCTGTGAGAAGGAATAGACTATGGATGGGCTAGGGGGGAGGAAAGGAGGGCCGGGAGGAGGGGTGGGAGGGAAAAATGTGGTAGGAATGAAAAATGAAACTTAAGAGAATAAATTTTAAAAATTCCTCTAAAAAATGTTTGTATCACACAACTGTATCATTAATTTATTCTTTTTCTTGCTCTTTTCTTGTTGATACAGGTTGTTAGCAATTTGTCTAGGTTGGCCTTGAACTTGTTTCTTTTCTGCCTGAACTACCTAAGTAGCTGAGATTACATTCATATATCAACAATCCAAAGTTGGTTGTGTTTTCTAAATGGACATTGCAAAGATGGTTTCATTTCACTATTGCTGCTTCACCTGAATTCAGGCATAGTGTATGGGAATGATGGATACATCTGGCCTGCTCCACTCAGACTCAGCACTTATGAGGACAGCTTTCTGTCACAAAAGTTTTATAACAGGTACATCATTTTGCAACAAAAATTTAAGAGAATAATAATTGATAATTCATGAATTTTCTGGTCTGAGACTGTGTCTTCAGTGAAGAATTGTTGTGATTTGAACATCAGTGACTTAGAGAAGTTGGAGAAACTACAAGCAGCTTCAAGATATAAAGTGGAACCAGTAATTTTTTATGAAAAGCTGAATTTCAGAAGAGTGCCATTTCATGTTGCTGGATTAGGGCACATTCAGGCTCCTTTAAAAGCACATTGTGCAGAAGGAAAGTAAGACTCTGGGAATGGATGCAGAAGATCATTCTTTAATTTTCACTTGAAAAACATCTAAGAATTCCAGTGTCCTTATTTGTAAAGTGAGCTTCTTATTGTTAAAAGCAGCACCAAATTAACTGATAATCAGCCATCAGATCGTAAAAGTTTTATTAATATAGCATTATACAAAGGATTTTGCTTTAACATAAAAATCAATGCATTATTAAGTGTTTACTTTAAACATAACTTTCTATATAACTTTACCAAAAGTGTACTTGGATGATGATTTTTAGTTATGTATAAAGGTATCATTATTATTATAAATGTGAGTAGACACATAAACAGATCTAAATACACTACA